CGCCCTCGGGGAGCCGCGGGGGACCGCGGCCTCGCGCCTTCCGGCAGCCCACCCCCCGCACCTACTGGGACGTGAGCAAAAGTGGACAGGACCCACCGCCTGCTCACGAGGCACCGGGGCGCGGGTACGCCTTCCCGGAGCCTCACCCCACTGCCTTCATCAAATCCCAGTGTCTCAGCCCCATATTCCCGGCACAACCGGGACACAAACTGCCCTCTTGCAGTGGGACCGAGGCATGTGGCACAACCCACTGAGGCGAATCTAAACAGCAGACCCACAGCGAACCGGTATAAAGCTGAAAGGTCTGGGTGGACGATGTCCTGGGCGGGAGGCATGATCAGAAGGCCGGTGTTGCTTTTGGGGCGGCGTCGGGACGCCGGGCTGTTTGATTAAGCGCTACCTGGACTGAGGTGGGGCGCCGGAAGGCGGTGAGACCAACAGGCGGGCGAGATCGGGTTTGAAAAGCCAGCCGCCGCCGCCACTTGGCCCCAATTAGAGGCCAAACCTTTTATGTAAACAAGGAATAATTAGCTTTGATAATAGAAGCGTAAACAGAATCATCATCCATTGATTTGCTAATTGCCCTCCTGTCCCATGACAATAGCCAGCGTTTTTTGCCTGTAGGTTGTACAGACCCTTCGCACTAGACGCACAGGTGGGGGGGAGGGAGCGGAATTTGCTCCAATCGGGAGGGTAGTCAGCTCCCATCTCCCAAACTCAGCTGACTCTCAGTCACCCCTCTTCTTCCTGGCTGTGAATGCAGCTTTTATCAATTCCTTCCAAGAGGAAGAGCAACACCACCACCCCCAATCGGCTGGCAAAACTCCAGTCGAGGCCAGCCCAGCTAGGGTCATTAAATTCCTGAACACAAGAGGTTCTGGAGCCAAAGTCCCCTTCTAGGAGCGGTGGCCCCACTCATCCCTCCCTCTCTTACACCCCATGCTCAAAGTCAAATGCGGCTACTTTCATCCACCAGGGTCACAGCTGGTTACACTTCCAGGTCTCAAGATAGCTGAGAGCAAATCTACAGGCCACCAGTTTATGGGCATGTCTTGCTTTCAGGACATGGGAACCAACAGGAACTCTCAGGGGACCCTCGGAGTCCATCAAGTGCTACGAGCCCCAGGCAGCTTCCTCAGATCCTGGAGGCTTTCCACGTCACAACACCTATGCCTGGTACCATCCCACCCCCACCCCAAAGCCGTATTTGCATAGCACTTAACACAGCATAAGGGAAATGTCACCCATGTCCACATCAAAGCCTGGGTTCCCGCTGTGTCATCCAGGAAGGAAGGGCTTCCGAGCTCCTTGGTGCCTGCCCTCCAATCTCAGGACCTTGCTGCATCTCAGGGCTACCCAGCCCCCCTGCAGCACTGGAAAAGATGTGCTGATGTGGAGACAGCCCGGTCTGTCCAGAGATGGACCCCACCCACTTTCCACCAACTTTATTACCCTCCTAGGGAGATCTTGGACTCAGAGTTTCCCACGATGGGAGGAAGGAGGGCAGGGTCCTGGGACCCTTCCCGCCACCTCCCACCCAGCCCCAGGCAAGTACCTTTGTCCAGGACAGGCCCGAAGATGGCCAAGCTGTCATCTATGGTGGTGCAGTTCCATCGTCGGCCCCGGAACTGATGCTGGCACTCCTGGATGCCCAGCTTCACACCTTCCGCTACACTGGGCATGATCTCGATGTAATTGCGGCAGAAGCGCAGCTGCTTGGGGACCAGGCCTGGGATGGAGCCGCAGAGCAGAGGCTGGGAGCCCAGAGATGTGTACTGCTGGCCCAGGGCCAGGGACCTGCGGGCAGACAATGGGCATGGCACTGTAGATACAAAACATTTGGCCCAGTAGGGAAGTCATTTCTTCACAGAGGAGGGAGCAGGGTAAGGGTGGGATGATCCATGGCGCTGGCACCTCATGTGCTTCTTTTGGCTCCCTTGGGGACATGGTGTCCCACGAAGGTACAACACTGGTTTAGGCAGTGTCCCTCTGACATGGACACACCTGACTGCCAGGGTATGTGGAGCAGCCGCGCCTCTGGGGGAGGAGGGACTTTGCGGGTCTGTATTATGTCATGAAAATACCCCTCGACGGGAAATGTAGAATTGGGGCCGAGACCAAGTTCTGCCCGGTGCCTGGGCCCAGTTGCCCTGGTGGGAATTGCAGGACTCCCGCTGAGCAATCTCCCAGGGACTCTAGGATTCATGGGCCATGCGGAGACTTAACAGCCATTCGTGGGAGGAATCCACATAAAGGACAAAGGAAGCAGAGGCCATTGTGGCTCCAGCTCCATCTTAGGAAAAAACAAAACAGAAGCATAAGTCTCAGCAGAGCTTACACACACACACACACACACACACACACACACACACACACACACCCCACAGGACCCCGCAGCCCCTTCCCCAGGATTAGACTTGACCAAGAGCCTGTCTGCCTCTGATGTCGAGCACTCTCTCTACAAGGGCCTCCACCTCCATCTTTCTCGTTCCCTAGAAGTTTCTAGAGTGCCACCTCCCCTCACCAAAAACAGAGGCTCCGTGTCATGACTAGTTTTTGCTCAAGAGCAAAAGGAAAAGTCTCAGCAGGCATTTCCCCCACCCTGTTCTTCAGTCAAGCCACCCCATTCTTCTACCAACTCTTCAACCCTTGGGAAGTACATGTGGGGGGCAGGGTTATATACTCTAGACAAATCAAGGTACTGCCAGAGCCGCCCTCTACTTTCTTCCCTCTTCCCAAGACAGGGACAGCAGAAATGACGGCATGGTCCAGGGACTTCACAGTCCATTGTAGCCAGCCCCGTGATAAGGGGCAGTGTCCTAGAAGAAGGTGGCCTAGGCACTGGCCAAGGTCAAGTCCTGGATTCAGGAGCCTTGCTTGGGAAGAGGGCCTTGGAGCCTCTGGAGTGGGTCAGAAAGCATGCCGGAGCTTCTTGACTATGGGTGAACCAAACACGGGACATTTATGGACTCCTGTTGCTCAGCACCTTTCACAAAACAGACCTGATTCATTTCTGAACATGTCTGTTCGCTGATGAAGAACCAGGGTTTCCAGAACGATTGCCCCAGGTTTCTTGGGAACAAGTAGGTGGCCGATCAGAATATGCTATAAGCTGCCTTCCCAGGACCCTTCCCAGCACCCTTCCCCCACACTAGACACTCAGAGTCTTGCTCAATTCAGAGACTCCAGGGCAACGTGGCACACAGCACCGCCACTTCCGGCAGCCTCTGGTCTCAGCTGTCAGGGGAAGAAGTCCAGGTTTTCCCATTTGTTGATTGGGAAGAGAGCCTGGGGGGAGGGGCAGAACTGGGGGATTTTGAATTGGTGAGGAGTCGCGTCCAGATCTGAGAGTCCCCAGCCTCACCTTTCAGAGGCTCATGCATGCCTGCAAGTGATCTCCCACTGAGTTCTCCCCAACCCAAAGCCCTGAGCCCTTTTGAAAAGGAAAATCCGGAGACCTGGTGGCGCATTCCTGTAATCTCAACTCTTGGGAAAAGCAAGAGGATCAGGAGTTGCAAGCTAGCCTGGGCTACAAGAGACTCGGTCTCATTGAGACAGAACAAGAGTGAGAGAGAAAGAGGTAGCCACTGAAACATTAATGTCGCACCATCATGGCTAACTACAGCTCCGTTCACTCAGTGACCTTTCCTGATGGCACCCCAGCACACAGTGGGGACTTGACTAGCATGCAGACCACAGAGAGCCAAGGGACTGCTGTTAGAAACCAGACTGCCTGGTTCCAGAGCTCTGGGGCAAGCCACTTAACCACTGCCTTATGGGCAAGGCCTGCTGGGTCTCCAGGGAGCTGGAGTAACTTCTGTCTACACCTTAGTGGGCTCATGCCTAAGTGGGAGACAATGGTGAGCCCAGAGCCTGATGGCACAGAGCACATGAAGTCCGGGAGGGAACCCCACTCTGTGTATAGAAGAAAACACCTAACATGTAGTATAGGTCTGACTTCGGCTGGGCACAGTTCTAATGCTTATGATGACATTAACCTGTTTAATCCTCATAGGTCTGTGACGTAGAAACGGCCGTCATCACCATCATCCCATTTCATAGACAAGGAAACTAAGGCAAGGATCTGCAGGCCTCTCTCATGGCCTGTGTTCTCTCTCTCCCTTCTTTAACCCTTACCATGCCCTTTCCCAGCACACAGCCCTGGTCTGCACTCACCTCCCAAGCCCTGCAGTCATTAGAAAGGAAAATGTAGCAAGGGTTTAATGTAGACAGCTCATCACCCTGAGTTATGCTCCCCTCCCCTTCCAACCCTGTCCCCTTAGCCTGGCTCATAAGCCAAGCAATTTCCTTAACTTCTCTGCATCCGTTTCTTCTTCTGAGACAGACCCCACAGGAGGAGTAAAGGTGGACAGCTCAGTGCCAGGCACGTCAGAACCCCCAAGGAATGGTGGCCATGCCCTCAGTACTCTGTCCCTGCAATGTCACCGTCCTCATTTCCCTGACTTGGTACAACACATGAGAATTTCCAAAGCCACCCCCCATTAAACAGGCCTCAGGACAGAGCTGAGACCCCTCACCAACAGTCCTGACAGGGCTGGCAGAGCAGAGCCCTCTGACTGACAGACAGGCCAAGCTGACCAAAGCCATGTGTGACTTGGATGAACGTTCAAGCTAACAACCAAAGGGCACAGGCGCATTTCCAGGATGCTCCGGTCAAAGGTCTCAGTGGGTCTGGACATCCTGTGGTAATTAGCCAGGGCTTCTGGGGATGGGGCTCAGATCTAGGGATGGCTTTGGGCTCTTCAGCCTGTGGCCTTGGGACTGAATTCTGTGGGACAGACAGCTGCCCTCCCAGACATGCCCTGCCGGCCCTGAGCTGTGCCCACGCAGCATGGCTGACATTCCATCATCGCAGACATATCAATGTAACCCACTTCTTGTCCCCATTACAGAAGAGTTTGTCCCCCTGGGAGAGTCAACATGAGAGCCTCTTCTTCTCTCTCTCTCCCCAGTGTGAGTGGCTTTGATTGGATTTGCCTTAAGGCCTGCTAAAACTGCTTCACACCCTTTGCACATGCTCAGCCCTCCACCTGGGTACCTCTCTGCAGCCCATACCCAAGGCAACCCCCACCCTGAATCACTTCTAAAGACTTCCATGAACTCCCAGACAGAAATAACCTCTCCTAGCTTGAGTTTTCCTGCACCCCATTCACCCCTTCTCACGACAGAAGGCTAGCTAATTTGTTTGCAGCTTGTCACACAAAGGGGGCTTGTCTTCTATTGTTTCCGCCCCCCCCCCAACACACACACACACACATACACCAGCACACTTGGGCTTCCAGGCAAGAAACAGAGGATGCCCCCCAAAGAGCCAGCCTGATGCCCCCACTCGGCAGGTTCCAGGCAGCCGGAGGTTTCACCCACACACAGGACAAGACTCCTCAGTTCCGCTGAGCGACTTCCTACATTGAGGATCTGAGATGATGGCCAGGCTCCCAAAAGAGGCTGGGGCATGGCTGGCACCAGCAGCTGGTGAGGGGGAGGATAGAGGGCTTGCCAGGCCTGCCCTGCTGGGTAGGGGCTATTTATACCCAGCTCCTGTCCCTTTCTTGCCCTGCTCTGCCCAAGGCCCTGTTGCCTTCAGCCCCAGGGACAGCTCATCCTTCATCCCAACTACCCACCATCCAGCTGGACTCGGGCAGATACAAGCAGCCAGATGAATGGGCCATCGTTGGCAGCAAGCCATAGGCCCGTCATAGAGCCCTGAGTGCTGGCCCTAAGGAAGAAATACCACTCTCCAATTAGGCCAGACTGGAAACATCCCCATAGCCTTGTCAGGTTCCCACGGCCACCTAGTTCTTGATCACCTATTTGTCACCTGTGGATAGAGGGCTGTGGGTGGGTGTGCATGGTGACAAGATCAGACACACAAAGTTCTCCTTGCTGGAGAGGGGGAGCCTGGACCTTGCCCATGCTAGGCAAGGGCTCTACTGCCCTAGATAGTGGTGTTCTGAGACAAGACCGTAGTCTGTAGCCCATTTAGGCCTTGGCCTTGCAATCCTCCTGTCTCAGACACCTGAGTACTAGGATTACGGGTGTGCACCCCACATCCAACTCAGACGTAACAATTGTAATGAGTTAATTTGTATTCTTTAGTTACGTATAAAATTAATTAGAAGGAAAATGGGGGAAAGATCTGCAGCCGTTCCCAAAGAAAGCGCGAGTGGCTTGTTAATACTTCTCACAGTGAGATACAGAATTCTTTGTTTTGTTTTTGTTTTAGAGACAGGATCTCATGTACCCCAGGCCGGCCTTGAACTCCCCATGTAGCCAAGGATGATCTTAAATTTTTGAGCCTCCTGCTTCCTCTCCCTGAGTTCGAGAATTGTTGGCATGAGCCACCATACCCAGTTGATACAGTGCTGGGGATCCAGCTCAGGCCTTTGTGCCTGCTGGGAAGGCACCCCACCAACTGAGCTATACCTTTAGCCCCAGTCAGAGAATTCAGGGCAGCCTAGCTGCTGCATTGACTCACAAAGGGAAGTGTCCCCTGTGGCCTGAAATACCTGCAGACTCTGCATCCCAGCATGACTGAGCCCCCACTGGGGCCAGGCTGGCTCTGCCGGTCAACACCAGCCTCATCCTACCAGGTAGCCTCTCCTGTAGCCAAGCCTGGCTTGTTTTGTTTGCTTTTAAGTTTAGAGTCTCCCAATACAGGATCTTAGAGCTTAGGGAGGTGTTGGGAGTCACCAGGTCCAGGCTGCTGTCTTCACTGTTAACTATTTTTGTTTGAAAATGGACACAAACACAACCTCCCTCCTTTCCCTATATATAAAACATTTTAAAAGAGGGATTTGCTCGTGTGTGTGTGTGTGTGTGTGTGTGTGTGTGTGTGTGTGTGTGTGTAAAATGAACACAGAATTTCCATAAGATCCAGCAGCTCCAGCCTAGGCTCATATTCCACAGTAATGAATGTTTAGGATGATAAGAATGTTCTAGAAATAATGGTGGTAGTTGCATGACATTGGAATGAACTTAACACATTGATTTATACAATTAATAATAGCTAAAATGAGCAGGACTGTGTCTACCTGGGTCCCTCAACTTTTTAGGAAACTTTTGGAGAACCATTGGTCTGCTCTAGTTTTATGGGGATACCAAAGCTCGAAGAGGTTTTGTTGTTTTTCTGGGTCACTCAGTTGACTGGAAAGATCAGGAGCTGTGGCCACAGCTCTCCATTGTCAACAGGCTCTTCTCCCTGCACCGCTGCCCCTTCCTGTGAGCCCCAGGGTGTGATAAAGACACATTCTCAGAAGCTTCTCTAGCACTCTGAGGAGTGGACAGAATGGACCTCAGAACCACAGCACAGGGAGAAAGCTCTCTGGATCCTCCACTGGACTTGGGATGAGTTCTGGGGTCAAGCCACCCCCATCTTGCTCTTCTTGAGATCATGGGAGTCCTTGCCCTTCCCTTCTCATGGAGCTAAGTAGCCATCCTTCCAGCCTCAAAGGTTGATCACTATGAGATTCTGATCCACAAGCCTAGGACCTCATAAAATAAACACCCAGGGATTGGGAGGGAGAGGAAGGCTCCACTCCTCTCCTGCACAGACCACAGGGTTTCTAAAAGCCCATAAAGGCACACAGCCAGGTACTCTGTCTGCTGGCTTCTAGGCAATACTAGACAGAGACCCAACCTGCATCTGGTCCAGCAGAACTCTACCCTGTCTGGGCAATATGGAAACTTCTAGAAGCCAAAAGAAAATCTTGAGACATGAGCAGAAAGAGCCAAGGTATTGCCTTTCCACTTAGACAAGGTAGAGCTGGTGGGTATAATGAGGGAGGGGACAAAGTTCCTTCCTGTGCCTGAGGGCTGGGAAGGAGCTGAGCCTGGTGGGCCAGAGTTCTCTCAACTCCTGGATCCTCCGTGGGCCCTGGAAAGGGACATTTGCCCTGGCACCTCGGCAAGAAGCTTTGACAAAGCGAGTGGAGGCACAAAACTCAAGATGCACATCTGCCACCACCTTTCCTGGAATACGAGCTGATCTCAGACACACAAGGACCCTGTGCAAGCTGAGCAGCTACTATACCCTTCCCAGCAGTGCAGTGCAGGGCCAAGGAGATGTCGTCTCTGAGTGATGCCGTGCCCGGCAATTCACAAAGGAAACCTAGATGCTGCCCTTCACAGAAGTGGGGAGCCCCTGGACCTCTCTCCACCCTACAGGCCCAAGGGAGCATCTGCCTTTCTGGATCCAGCAGCAACAGAGACCACTCAGCTCACATACAGGGGCTCAGGGGAAGAGGGAGGAGCCCAAGGTAGGGCTGGGTTTCCAGTTTGACTGAGTCTGGGTCGGCAGACTGGGCCCAGAGAGAATAAGCAAACGGAGGCTTGGTCCCAGCAGCTGGGCTCACATCCTTCCCTGGTAAACACATTCACTCAACGCCTGCTCACTCGGCATCACTTACTGAATGATGACTCCAGACCTGGCAGAGCTCCAGGTACTAGGAACACAGAGATGAATGAAGCCCCACAGAACAGCACCCAGGCCAGGAGGCATCTATCAACGACAGACCAACAAGCCCTCTTCAAGTACCTACCAGCTCAGGGCACTGTGGATGCCACACAAGGGCAGGAGATGGTCTTTGGATGCTTGTCATTCATAACTCCTGTCATTTTTGCCCTAGCATAGGGAAAATCACTTAGTCTTCCAGAGTGGAACCAATGGGTCCCCGCTGCCGTGATCAGGAGCAGCTCTGCACCTGGTAATTAGATCCGGGTTCTCTTAAGCACTTGGAACAGACAGCAGCCTCAGAACAGCTGGTATACCTGGGTAACCATTTTATCTCTCACCTGAAGTCTTGGGCTATTCAGAGGAACAGATGAGGAGAGAAAGGCTGGCAAGGGACCCACCTGCTGAGGTTTACACCACTTCAGGCAGGCTGGCAGAGTTTGAAGCATCCGAAGCTGGACTTCGGTCTGTTTACTTATCAGTCACATGTGCAATGGGACAAGGGCAGCCCTAGAGATCAAAAGCTGGGAAGCAGCTGGGAGACTGATGTGACAGTTGGCAATAAGGAGATTCTGGGAGCTGGCGACACATTGCCACAGCCAGAGACCTCACTGCCACTGGCCTCAGGTGAGCCAGAGAGGCTATCCAGGGCTGTGGCAGTGGATGGGCATGCTGTCTGTCTCAAGACAAGGGCTTCAGGGACAGAGAGAAGGCTGTGGATAAGGACAAAAAGAGAGGAAGAAGTGAGGGTCTAAACCAGGATGACCAGGAAGATGGAGATGGCATCCATCATGGCTAGAAGCTAAGGAAAAGGAAGTCTTGGGGACAGTGACAGCCCCAGACCCTATATACAGACAGTGGGGAGTACAGAGCCCAAGAAGAATACAGAAGGCAGACATTCCCACTTGAGGACAGTTATTCAGAAGGGAGAGTGGAATGGTACTCTAGACCTGATCGCCCCAACAGGTACCTGGGGGAGCTGGGCCAACTGGAAACCTCATGTTGGGGCACTGATACCGTATGGTACCCAGGCAGGCCCAGCCCAGACCTCACACAGATAGGCCTAAAACCTGTGGGACCCTAGGTTACGTCCTTGGTTTCTGTTTCATGGTCCTTACAGAGGCATACAGTCTGGATGTGTGGGTGGGCATCACACTGTTCCTTCTGTTGTCCCTTGTCTGCTCTTTTCTCCCTAAGTTAGAGCTCTGCTTCACCCTAAGCCATCACCTCAGCCAGGTGGAGCCATCACCTCACCTCCTCCTGTGGAGACTCCTTTCTGGCCAACGCAGTGGGGTTTTTCCCCCATCTGACCTTCTCCACCCAGTGAGAGCTACCGGGAAACCAGCGTCTGTGTCTGTTTCTCAGGCTGGCTCCCCTGAACTCTGGGTTTTGGGCTTTGGCTAGACTTTCCCATGTCACCAAGACCACCACGAGCATGGCAGGAGACAGAAGGCAGAGCCTCTTGGAGAATATGAAGGAAAAGGGATTCCAGGCTGGCAGTCCACATCATGGGGTGAAACCCACAGGCGTGAAGAAAGAAAACCAACGTCAAAGTCATTCCTTCTGGAAGGAAGCAGCCACTGAGAAGGGCAGTTGGCTTTCTCCTCCTCCTCCTCCTCCTCCTCCTCCTTCTCCTTCTTCTTCCTCTCTCCCTGAGGTTCCCATGGAACTCAAGCAACAAACAGAACTTACTGGCTCTGCTGGTCAAGAGACTGCCTACCTTGGGAGTAACTCCAACAATTCATCTTCACCCCCTATTTCTAGAAGCCCCTTTCAGAGCCAAGAGGAGGCCTTCAAGGAAGCAGTGCACTTGCCTGGGATCCCAAAGAGTCTTGATGCTGGGCAGCCATGGAAGGAAGAAAATGATGTGAGAAGCAGCCCCTGTCAGAGGGAGGTGGTAGCCGGGTGGACCCTTTCCACCCAAGACAGCCCAGCCTCAATGGAATGTCTACTCTCCGCCACCGCAGCAGGCCTGCAGGCCCTGATCTGATAAGGTGTGACAGGGCCTGAAAAATGTTGAAACCTGTGAAATGTTGAAACCTGTTTTTTGAGGTGTTGTGAGCATGAGCCAGCCCCCACCCCACCCCACCCCCGCCTCCATTTCGCAGGAAGGTGGAGTGGATCACAGCGGAGAGAGGAGGAGGACAGAAGGACTGTCCCTCCTGGCTAAATTGGGGGTTGGAGCGCGAGCAGGCTGGTGGGCCCTGAAGAGGAGGGAAGAGGGTTAATGACTGTGGGGAGAGAAGGAAGAATCCAGAGACTTGGAAGGGGAAAGGTGGCAGATGAGAAAAAAGGAGGAGACTGCTCCGGCAGCCATGGCTTGCTCTGCAGCCTGGCCTGGTTCACTTTCTCTAGACTTACCAGGGGAAGACTCAACCCAGGATATCCAAGGATGTCAGGGCCAGACCAGGGACCTCCCACCTCAGACCCCAAGAAGGTCTCTCTGAGAAGTGCCAGCTGTCTCGGGGACATGGCTTCCAGGAACTTAGGTCAAGAACTGAGTCATTTCCTACCAAGCAGTTCCCAAGTGAATCCCATGATCTTCCCTTCCCCACCCCCACTGGGCAGGGCAGTCCTTGCCTTTGGAAACCGTGGTCTGGCCTCTAGCCTCAGACCTAACCACAGTTAGGCCCTGTTTCACAGACAAGACAACCAAGGCTCAAAGGTTTGCTTGGGTCACATCATCCCTGCCTGGCAGTTGGAACAACTCTCCTAGTTCCCTCCAGATGCATTTAGTCTTTCTAGGGGGAAAGATGTCGAGCATCCCTGAAACCCTATCAAGAGCAGGGGTCTCTGGGTACAAGGCTGATAGATAATAAAGACTTGTAGAATACAAGTTTCTGCTTGAAAATGTCCCTTGCTGGCTTCTGGCTGGTTGGAGGAGGGTGAGATATAGAATGTATTATACAGAAATGATAAGATAAAGAGGTAGATTATTGAATCTACTTTTAAAAAGCAACTACTAGTTTTAAATATTTTGTACTGGATTGGATTTTTGTATATTATATACAAATTTTGTATATTGATATAAACTTGAAATTATTTTTGTTAGAATACACTGTAAATACATTTCTAATCTTGTTCAAGGTATTGAACCTATATAGCTCACTTAACAATCTTGTTCAAGGTATTGTACCTATATAGCTCACTTAACAATGTAGTGCAAATTGCTAGTCCTTAAAAGTTATTACTACCAACTAATTAGGATATAAAGAAACGAAAGTTGGTAGTTATTGCAGTCGAACTTGTAGTCATATTAGGTATGTTTTCAAGGTCAAACAGATATATTTTAGATAGACAAGCCATCTTCAAACACTTCAGAGATCTACAGAATATGGCATTTAAGATGTTTTAATAACATAGGTTCTTTTTTTTTTTCTTTTATGACAATGGGACATGTCTGCTCCTGGCAGCACCAATCTACTTCAGAGAAGATGATGGGCATTGAAGAAAACTCCATATGGTGTTTACTTTCTTTGTGGCAAGAAAGTGCCCTTATTTCAACTGCTGACAAAATGGACAAGCAGGACACAAAAGAAAGGACTGCCGAACCTTGCCAAGAAAAAGTAGGGCAGCCCTTCAGAAAATCCTGCTTCACAGAAAAGTCTGTCAGATATGGTAGGCCTGTTGGCTGAAGATGGATGTCCCCAACATTGTAGAGGAACCTTGGGTGACTGTCCAGGCAGCCAGCTGTTTCTGTCATTTCTCACATTTTTCACAAGTTGCTTATTTGCACTTCCTGCTTACTTAGGTAATATTATTTCCTTCTTGGGTCTCCAAGGGAGTTGAAGACTAGATAGTTATAGTTTTCCTTGTTAACATATTCAGAAAAGAAACTCACTAAAGAGGTGTAATGTGTAAAAGTTTGAAAGACATCAAAAGATAGTTTTTGGTTGGTAATACAAGTTAAGATAGATAGTTAATTAGGTACAACACTTTGCACTCACCAAAATAGGATAGATAATGGAGTATTTTCTCTGAATTTGTCAAATGTTAATGGACTAGACATTATTAATGTAATTCTTGACTATATGTTTTGTATATACTTATTGTACTTATTGTATATAGTTTTTCTTGTATTAGTTATAATCTTTTATTATTTTAGACAAAAAAGAGGAAATGTGGTGATATATTGTATACTCTAATAAAATTTGCCTGAAGATCAGAGAACAGAACAAACCACTAAATCAAACATAGAGTTCAGGCAGTGGTGGCACACACCTTTAATCCTAGCACTTTTGGATGAGGAAAGCTTTTCAGGCTGAGGAGTCCTAGAGGTAAGAGGTTCCTTTGTCTCTCTGATCTTTCAGCATTCACCCCAATATCAGGCTCCAGTTTTTGTTTTTTTTTAATATAAAGAGACCATTTAACAATTCACGTTATGCAAGTGTGAGGAGTCCCACTTGAGGTAGAATTCTAAAAACAAGAGTGTCTAGTGGAGAGAGGCCAAGAGGGGTGTCAAAGAGATGGTCTGTGCTCTAGGCCTGAAAGCTCAGCTTGATTTGGTTGTCCTTTTCTCTCTGGGCTCAGCGTTTATTTCTTTACCTACCAACCTGCCAATCAGAACTACAGACATCATTCAGAACTACAGACGCCAATCAGAACTACAGACGTTCCCTAAGCCCAGTTTGTTTCATTGGCGCCCTTGAACCTTATCCACTTCCTCCTTGCTGACCCTCTAAATCAGAGTTACAGATGGCAGAGACAGTCTCCCACGTGCAGATGGGTGCCTGACAGGATCTGGTTAATTGTTCCAGGAAACGAAGATGGCCAGTTCCTTGGTCTGAACTGTTCGGGGTTCTCATGGAGCTTTCCCTTCAAGCCAAGTTTTGGTAAAAGAGAAAACAGTCTGCCTAGCCATTCATTTTGAGCTCTTATTCACCCCTCAAGATCTGAGATTAAAATCCCCTCTTGTTTCCAGTTTAGACTGCTCCTTCTGGTCATCTCTTGAGTTTATCAGAGGGAGGCATGACCCTGAACACCCTCCACTGAGCCATTTACAGAGTCCATTTTGCCACTAAATGGTGATACTTTTCAGAGGACAAATTGTCTCTGCCACTGGGAACTACTAAGTGCAGAGCTTGGCTTCCCAATGGGCACAGGACCCCTTGGAGGGCCTCCTTGGACTAGACCCAGTGGCTCCCACTGACCTCCCTGCCTGATCACTCAGCCCAACACCATGACAAGCTGAGGGCAGAAGCCACCCTGCTGGTTCCCTGGGCTTTTTCCACAGCTGCTGCACAGCCTGGGAAATCCTTATCTGAGTTGTCGGATGCAGAAAGCTGAGCTATTGGCTGGAAGCTCACTCTAGACCATGTCTCTGGGGGCTCCATGAAGGCCACAAGCCTGCCATGTATCTTCATTTCAGAGGCAATTACCCTGGGCCAGCCCTGCGCTAGACATTGAGAGCATATAGATGTCTGTGGGTATAGTTATAATCTTACAAGAACTACGGAGCAGCCTAGAGCTGCTGACTGGGATCTAGGTGCCTCCCTGCCCATTTCAGATCCAGACATCAGCTACTGCTGGGACCAGAGCCTTGAGAACTCACCTTTCTCCATACCTCCCATACCATGCCCTTTGGAGGGCCGAAGATGATCACTGCCCAGCTGGCTGCTTGGGTCAGGAAGGCAGGTGAGACACTGAAGCAGGCAACTTACCAGGGGCAGATTTGCAAAACCCAGACACATGGACTCCAGCACTAACCCGCTGGACCAGCCCATCTGGGAAGGAGACTAGGAAACCCCATTAAACACCTCCAGAGAAGTAGGACGGCCGAATAGCCGGAGATGGTGCAATGCAGGGTACCCAACCTCCTCTATAA